TAGCATTCCCAATAATCTTTCGCAATCAGAGTTCCTGGTTCGTTCATATTTTACCAGAATTTGCTCAGTCCAACCAACCTTTTTTTTCGTGCATGGCTGCACTTTTTGCCTGCATTTATAACTAAGTTTCTACGACGAGTCTAATCGATTAGAATTTTTTTACTTTTGGGACTGCTGCCACATGCGCATCCCATGGAAAACGCCGTTCTCCACAGCATTTATGAAAATTATTCGCCGTTATTCGCTGTTACCGCTAGGTAAGAGAAAATACAATGCTTTTCTCCCGTTCATTTCTTTCAAGACTCATAATCGCATATGAAAATAATGCGGCTCAGTTAGAATAACTAATACACATAATTACGACCGATCGCCGTGCGTCAGGTGACTTTCGAGCGAATAGAAAAAATGAAAAAAATGTCCTCTCCGTCATCTCTCGAGGGACTCGGGTTGTCGGAGTGTTGAGTTTGCGTCAAAAAAGAGAGAGAGAGAGAATAATTGAGCTGGCAATTATCTGCGTCGAGACGTTCGTTCGAGCGCGTAATTGCTCGTCTAGTTCTCTCGATAGGGATACACATTATCAGACCGTCGGTAGAATTACAGGACAACCGTAAGTATTTAATGAGTAGTATCTCAACTTATTGTTATACTATGTAATAGCGCTTGACCCGGTAGTCACTCGTAGTGGGAATGAGTGCCGTACGGGAATGAATTTTGGGAATCGGTCAGTGCTCTTTCGACTTTATCACGTCGGACAGATGCGCCGACTTTGAGCTTCATTCCGCCCCGTATCCTCAAACCTGTTTGAGGAAAACCTGTTTGAATGCAAGTCACCGGCACTATGAATCTGTTGCTGAAGATTGGCCTCCGATTACTCGGTACATGGCCGAATGTGCGGTACGCCTCAGTTTATCGGCCAATTTACATGCTGAGCATACTGATTCTGCAATACTGTCAATATCTGTACATATACTCGCATTTTAAACTGAGCGAGCTGCCAAATCTCGTGGACAGCCTGCCCGCGGCGTTAGACTACGCTCTAGCAGTTTTCAAATTAACGGCACTTTGGACGCATCGCCAGTAAAATATCTCATCGCGGTGTAATCGGTGTAGAACATTGTCTGATCTCGTCTCCAGAAGGCAAGATTAATTCGCAGCGTTTGTTTCAAGTATATTTTGCGCAATTAGATATTTATTAAGGGAGGAGTGAGTTATTTTCTGTTTCATTTTATGTGTGTGTGTGTGTGTGTGTGTGTGTGTGTGTGTGTGTGTATGAATCTTGATTTAATACATACATAGAGAAAATATTATAGTAAAATATTATAGTAAAATATATTATAGAAAATATTATAGTAAAAATTATAATACAATTTTAGTGATTTGGGAATAGCCTGGTACTAAAATTGTAATGAAATATAGTAAAAGGTCCATAAACATAATTTTTACTACATTTATGGTAATTTTTACTATGTTCATGGTCACTTTTACTTTGTTTTATTATAATTTTCGTCATATTGCCAGTCTATTCCCGAAATACTAAAATTGTATTGTGATTTTTACTACAATATTCTCTTTGTGTATGTGCACAAACTCGCATAGAAGGAACGACGTTTTCCTTGCATTATAATATTTGAACGATTAAAGTAACGCATTCCAGTGTAATTTGTCAGATAATGACGGACATGGAGGATGATTGGCGCGTGTCCATACATGTCGAGCAGTACTTGTACTTGATAACGACGAAAGCAATCGTGTCGTATTTTTTCTCCAACACCATATTCAGTTTCACCATAATCGCCGGGGTGCTTTACCTCTTGGGCGACCACGTATTTCACTTTCTGCATTTAGCGAAAAATGCCACTGCTTCTTCACGGCAGTTTCCTATGAAGGTACAATTCCCATTTGAACACGCCAACGAATCGCCGACCTATGAGGTGTTCTTTGTAATAATATTCTTGCATGCCACATTGAACACATACGCGATTGTTATTCTGGACGCGCTGATTTTCAGCCTCGTAAGTGTCTTGCAGATTTATTTGTTTGCCAAAATAATGTAAAAAATAATTTGATCTAAGAATATCGTTACAAAATGATACAAATTCGCAAGATTCGTTAAGTTTCACTCTTTTCTAGATATTTTTCGAAAACAAATAATTTGTTTTCTTCATTATCCTGAAATCTTTTCAGGTACATAAGTATGTTTCAGGTGCTTCATGCGAGCGGGAAATCAATATCATATGCCACGAGTTCCAATGTATCTCTGCAGACCCTCCTCTTTTTGAATCTTCCGCGATAAGAATACTAATTGAGAGGCATGATAGAGTAATTAAATTTTCTACCAATGTACATAAGATTTCTTTCTTCATAGTGTTAATGCTAATTATTTGTAATTCTTTGATGTTTTTTACTTGATAGTGAGTACCACTGTCTGAATGCGATGGTCAGTGGTGTTATTCATTCGCTTTTTATACTTATCGTTCAATGAAATAGTCTGTTCATGGCAATGCTGGTTGCATGCTATTGGTGAGAGCTGCTTACCAGCGTCTTACTGGTGGAAATCTTTATTTTCTGCTTCACCGGCGAATATCTTAGTCATAAGGTCAGCAGATATCAAGCAATTGTCAATTGTTATTACGTAGTACTTAAAATGTAATTGAGTAATTATTTGTTGAAAATTAAGTTATTATTAAGTAAATTTTGTAAAATCATGTCGATTGTAGATAAGGACAAATTTACATTTTCGAATAGTTGAATGAATATGGCAGAGTGTGAAAGTTAAATATTCTGTCGTTGGTAACATTTTTCTGCATTGTTTTCAGAGTAAGTCAATCGCAGCTATCTAAAATTCTGTATGGTACGATATATTATCTATTCAAGGCAAAATGGTGTCGTTTGTGATAATGAAGTCTCAAAGGCAAATTACGCTCACGGCAGGAGGATTCGCGAATTTATCCTTGGAAACTTTTGCGAATGTAAGTTAGCCGCTATGAGAATTTCTTCGATGTCTGGTAACTCACGGAGAAGCCGTAGATTAGATCAAACAGAACAAAAAAGTCCTCTACCGTTTTTTAAATAAACATGTAGATGTTTAGTTATTAATTTAGTTTCAGTTATTAATTATGAATAAAGAAGACTGGTGCATTATTGTGCACAACTGTACATTAATTAATAATTAAACGCGTACGTTATATGAAAATGGACTTTATTATTCAGTTTGATCTAATATACAAGCATACAACGGATCTCCTTTGATTAATAATTTAGAATTTTACGCGTTGTTCGTAAAATAATAGAATAATAATAGATAGTAAAATAATTTGTGTTCAGTTTGACCTATCTGTACTAATCTGTATTAATCTATCTGTACACCGCGGCTCCTCTATCAGTTACCTTATATATTCGTATATTGAATATTTTATTATATTACTTGTGTCAGTGTGTGTTTTGAATTGTTTTGTTTTATTTCAGATCATAAAAACGTCAGCATCATACATGTCTGTCATGCTCGCGATGTATTGAAGTATGTATGTGCATAGGAAAATAATTTAGAATTTAGTATAAAGTTATCAAGTACCGATTAAATTTTTCTGTTCATGTAACGTGATATTAAAGATCGACAATTTTTCTTAGACAATCTTAAATTATATTTAATACAATTTGAACATACATATTTCTTCCCTTTTGCTGCGTTACATCAACACCCTTATTAAAACAAGCTCATTCAATAAAGTTTAATATAATTTCAAAAGATAGTCCAACATATTCATTATTATGTATCCCCCGCGAATTCTACGCATGTACCGTTTCCAAGGTATCTTTGTTTGTCTGTAACTAAACTTCTATGATGAGTCAGTAATCGATCAAAATTTTTTTTACTTTTGAGACTTCTGCCACATGTGCATTCGTCCGTTTGCATTTATGAAAATTACCTGCCATTATTCGCTATTTGCCCCTAGTTCAGCGGATGCACAATGTTCTCTCTTCATTTTTTTTTTCAGGGCTGATAGCCACACGTGTGTTTCAGTTCCGTTCGGTCGGCATAACTAACGCGGAGTCACGGTCATTCAACCAAGTCGCCGTATGTTAAATGGCCCTCGGTACACGTGGAAAAAACAAAGATCACTCGCTTTTTATTGAGATTTATTGCGTTGTCGTAGAGAAAATCTCGCAAAAAGTAAAGTAAAGGGAAAATGTAACTGATCACCGCGCACAAAGATATACGAGTAATTTTTTTTCGGTGCGCGATCAGAAGGCATTATTAAGAGCGTCGGCGCAATTACAGATCGTCTGCGTGGGTAATGAGTTGTATCTCGGCTTGCTATTAGACTATGTAACGCATGATAACGATTGAACGGTGGTAACCGGAGTGGGGATGCAGCACGTGGGCTTAGTGGATCGGTCGGTACTCTCTCTCAGTTCATTGTACATACACGAGAGTGCCGTGCACTCTCCGACTTTCGTTTCCTCGCGTCTTCATTGACAGATGATATTCACGAGCACGATCAGTCCGTCGCTGAAAAGCGGACTTCGGTTCCTCAGCGTGTGGCCGGACGTTCCGTATGCCGCTGTTTTCCGACTGATTTACATGTTGTTCATTCTGGTCGTCCAATATTTTCAATATTTGTATGTGTTCGCGCACTTCAAGCTGAGCGAACTGCAGGATCTCGTGGACAGCTTGCCACCGACTTTAGACTCCAGTTTGACGATTATGAAGCTGGTGACGCTTTGGAAGAATCGTCGGTAAGACACCGTGCCAGGTGACGCGTTTTTGAGTTCCTCTGATATGTTTCCACGGCGCGACGTCAACGTGGATTTTGGTACCGTTCGTTTGCTGATGCTTGTTAATGTGGAACATGACTGAATAATTACATCGTTTAGATTTTAGTCGACGGTGTATAATCTCGCATAGAAGCGTGATAACCCGCCACCCACTAACAAGTATCTCTATCCGATTAAAGCGACACATTGCAGCGTGGTTTCCGATATACTGACCTCGATGGACACCGATTGGCGCGAGTGTGTGAAGGTTGATCAGCATTTAGACACGATGACGGAGAAAGCTAGCGTCTCGCATTTTTGCTCGAACGCTTTGTTGAGTTTCAATACGTTCGTCGCGGTGCTCTACTACGTGAGCGATTATACGCTCGCTGTCATGCATTTCGCGAAGGATGACAATGACACATCACGTCCGTTTCCAATGAAGATACTGTTTCCTTTTGAGGCTGAGCAATCGCCCATCTACGAACTTCTAGTCGTCGTCTTGTTTCTGCACGCAATGTTAAACGTGTACACGCTTACCACTTTAAACGCGTTGATCATTACTCTGGTACGTCTCTAGTCAGACCATTTAGCATACCGACTGCAAGCCAAGATTATTGATGAGGGAAAACAAACGCACGCCAATTTAAAATAGTTTTCAAAGCTTGCTTTTATACAAAATCTCATGCAGCCTTATACTTGAAAATATGAAAATTTACAGGTCACCGATCGGATAATTTTTATAATTGAATAATCGACTATTATACACACACATGGAATATATTACGTTTTGTTTTTTTTCTTCCGTTTCCTTCTAATCGAGATACACTTCTCAAAATGCATTTTTTTCTTTGAACATCATACTTAGAATCTTTGCAGATACTTAAGTATATTTTAGGTACTTCACGCAAGCGGACAAATTGATATTATATGCCAAGAGTTCCAAACTACCTCTGAGAAAGCGTCTTATCATGGATCTTCTGAGGGGATAGGAATGCTTATCGAGAAGCATAATCGAATCATCACATTTTCCGAGAATCTTGATGAACTCTTTTCTTTTATGGCTTTGATGCAGATTTTTTGGAATACCTTAGTTATCTGCTCTCTAGGACTCCTCATTATAACGGTGAGTGTTGCAATGCCCATTTCTAATGCACGGTGATTGATATTGTAATTCATTCAGTTTTGCTGATCGTTTAATTAAACAGTCTGTTCATAACGAAGCTAGTGTCGGCCTGGTGAGGACCATATTTGCTTATGGCGCAATAATGATGGAAATTTTTATCTTTTGTTTCGCCGGAGAATATCTTAGTCTTAAGGTTAGTAAATATTTAGAAATCATTTGTGATTAATTTCTTCATCAAAACTTATTATGATAATTAATTATAGTATTTCGATTCTTTGGGACAATATGCGATTGAAAATGGTTACAATATATATATATATATATATATATATATATATATATATATATATATATATATATATATATA